CTCTCTCTCTCTCTCTCTCTCTCTCTCTCTCTCTCTCTCTCTCTCTCTCTCTCTCTCTCTCTCTCTCTCTCTTTTTGCTTGTTGGCATCAACATGAGCAACACATCTTGTGTTGCTGTACAAGAGTAATCACACAATTTATCTCCTATGGCAACACAAATTCTGTTGCTCATTCTCCCTGGCTGTGGTGTTCCCCCACCACCCACACCACAGCAACCCCAGCCTGGCCCCCTTTTTTGTTGATTTTTTTTTAATTTTTGCATCCTTATTTTTTTTTAACACCTAATTTTCCTACAAAAAATCAAAATTCATTTTTGAAAAAAATACAGCACAACTCAGGGACCATATCCCTCATGATAAAAAATGAAAAAAAAAATCCTGCTTTTCTTTTTCTTTTATTTTTTATATTTTGTTTATATCGAATTTTGTTTTTCATTTTTTTAAAATCTTAAACGAAGTTGGATTGGAAAATAAAAATCATAGGATTGTAGGGTTTTTCAAGCCCTACAGCCCCATACTTTTTTTTTTTTTTTGGAGTATTTTTAGGGGAGGGGGGGGAAATATTGAAAAACCAGGCCGTGGACCGGGCCTCGTCGGCCGCGGACCGGGCCTCGTCGGCCGCGGCCGCGGCCGACTTTCTCGGCCGCAGCGGCCGAAATGCCCGCAGCCTAGGCCGCGGGTGTCACATAGGAAGGCGGGGATAGCGACGGAGAGCTCGGTGAAAACGACGAAACCCCCGAAGAGGGAAGCTATAGCGAGCATAGTGAGGGGCAACAGAGCGAAGAAGAAGAAGAGATGAGGAAGGAAAAGAGGAGCACGAAGAAGAGCCTGCTGGATCGGAGTGGGAAGCCGTGCCGGAAGAAGCGCTGCGTACGGGTACAAAGGCGGAGGATCTCGAGGCGGCCCGCAAAAGAGAAGAGATCGCGGCCGGAAAGGAGTTAGAGCTCACAAGCGCGGCGAGTCTGCAGATCCACGACGACCCGAACCGAGATCCAGAGCCACCCCGGCCTGAAGATGGCGACCTCACGGCCATGACTCCGACCCCATCAACGCGGCGGTGAAGCCGATCCCCCTTCTCCCCAACCCGTCCCCCAGTTCGCCGACGTACCGATACGGGCGATCGGCCTTCGTCCCCGATTACTCTCTTGTCGTCCCCTTGACTACCTCACCCTCCGCCAACTCACCACCCCCATCATGTTCCCCTCCAATCCGTTTTCCCGCGACACCTTCCGTCACTTCTATGCTGCTCGCCTCGCTATAGTGGTGCATCCCCACCCCTCCATTCGATGCGCCGTCCCAGCCTTCTGCCTCCACGCCTTGCTCCTTAGTGCCACGTGGCGAGGCCACAATATGATCAAGGTTTATTGCGTGATAATGGGGACCATCCCCGCATGCGAAGATCACGATCGATTCCGCGCGGCACTTCTCCGAACTCTCACCTCCCTCTATCCCGACTATCTCGCGTCCCTCCCTCGCACTGGCAACCACTTCCCCCGCTTTCACGACATTGTTCGTTACCAAGAGCTCCCGGAGGCTGTAGCCGGAATGGAAACCCCGCTACCCATAAACCCTCAACCGCGCCATGCCGCCATGTACCGACTCCCTTTCCCCCTCCCGGTTAGTTACTGAGGCAACAGGTAATGGACGTGTGTCGCGGCGACGACACGAGAAAGATCCCGTTCTTGGATCGTCGAGAGCCCAATCTGAGGAACTAGTAGAAGAGCAGTGTTGCCACGTTGGATGACGTCCACACGCAATCGAACGGTAAGTGGCATAAAGAGAAGTGCTCCGCGTGTCAATCGATTAGAGAAATCGACACGTGACAACAAGCAAGCAGGAGCTTGCTAATATTGGAACCCACTGGGCGTCACATATGTGACGAACCATTTTCTGTAACGCGCGATTTTCTATGCGGTTGCAACGAGGGGTTCTAACCTGGGAAGATTGGGCCAATTACGGGAGATCGGGATCAGTGGAGAATTGCATCAGTATCCTCGTTTTTTTGTCATTTTCGTCGCTTCCTTTTCGAATGACTGGGCACAGAGCTGGGTGTGTCTTGGGACGGCCGGTTGATTGGTTGGTCGGATGGATGTCTGGCGCATCGCCACGCGCGCGCGCGATTAATAAATATTGACGTCGTTTCTTTCGGTTCGATTTCGATCTTTTGGGCGCGGACATCGCGCGGGAAATTGCCTCGTTCCTTTTGAATTTCCTTTTAAATCTTTTTCGAATTTTGTCGAGCCCCCGATGGTTCTCGGAATTTTGGACTTTCATTCTGGAATTTGTGCCTTTTTGCTTTTTCGCATTAGATAGGAATTTAGGAATTCAGTAATTAGCTAGCTTTCCCCCCCCGGGCGCCCGGGGCACCCGAGCCCGCCCGGAATGGCGCTCGGGGCGCTCGGCCGTGCAACCCCCCCGGCGAGGCACCGGGCCCCCTCAGCGCCGAACCGGAAACGGCCGCAAAAAAAAGATTTCACGCCGCCGCCCACTGGCCCACAGGCCAAAAAAAATTTTGGTGGCTGGCGCATTTTTTTTCGGAGCCCGGTAGGCCCCTTTCTTGAAGTTCCAATTTTTTCAATTCTTAGCCGTCGATCGCCAGCGATCGACGGCGTGCGTAGCTCCCAGGATTCGAATTCGAATCCTGGGCCGGTCTGCCCCCCCCCGATGCCCCCCGTCCTCTGCCCTCCGCCCTCCACCGTCCACCCGCCCACCCTCCGCCAGGCGCCAGTGTCGTCGTCGCCCTCCTGCCGCTCCGTCGTCGTCGGCCATCGTTGTCGTCGTGCTGCCGCTAGCCCGCTGCCGCCATCGTCGTCGTCCCGCTGCCGCGCCATCGTCGTCTACTACCTTCCCCTCGACTTCCTCGAGTACCGCCCGCGCCATCTCCACGAAGGCTCGAACTTCGAGGTAAGTTTTTCGTTTTTTTTTTTCTCTTCTTCTTCTTCTTATTATTATTATTTCTTCTTCTTCTTCTTC